TTCTCGAAGTCTCGTTTGCGCTTGAAGATTTTCATGTGAATTGTTGACAGTTGCGTCCAGCCAGAGTAAGGAATATGTCTCGAAATTCTGTCCTGCTTGGCTAACATACGCGAAATTCACTGCCATCGGAGTGCTGATGAATTCGAATGTGTATGAGAAAGCGTTTGTATTGTTAGTGAAGAGAAAAGTATTTTGAATTGTTTTTTGCGTTTCGAAACAAAGAATAAAAGAAACGTTTTATTCATTTAACTGTGGCAAGAATGCATACTTTCTCTACAGTAAAATTGCTTCACAAAGGTACCACGATATATATATATCTAGAACGGCTTGCCTCGCGCTCAACGTACCTAGACAATAGGTGTCAACGTTGAATAGTTTATATTTACACAAGAAGAAATTAAAAAAAACGTCGGTATTGTTTTTACCACTTGTCAATTTTACATTCATTTTGTTTTTGCCAGACTTTTTCCTGAATGTCAAAATACTGTTCATCGTATTCGTATTGACCATTGAGTAAATCAGTTGACTTTGAAACACATAGTGATTCGTCCTGCTGATCGCAAACATTCAAGGCATGTTGCTGTTGCCGTTTTCTTTTCTTTTCCTTCTCCAGACGCTTCATTTCCAATAGTCGTTGATTTTTTACAGGATCCCAATGTGGAGGATGTCGATAGGGGCAATCCAGTCGAGCACAAGTATCTTCATTCCAACAATCACGCATTATCATTTCCATTTGTTTTGTCTCAAGACGTATCACATTCTCACGTTTCTTTTGCTGAATTTTAATTATATTTGCTCGAAGATTTCGAGTCTCCGAATGATTGAATGTGCAGTTTGGACGAGCACACGTTTCGTTAAGAGCACACTCAATTGTAGACTTGTGTTGTTTGCTATGCTTTTGACGATTCGACATTTTCTCCAAAAGCTGCTCTGATGATTTATTCAATTCTTTTAAATACTAAATGCATTATTTGGAAACTACCAACTTGTTTTTCTTCCTACTCTTATCGCGTTGTTCTGTTTGATGTCTTTACATCCAGAGAACGAATACTTGTTCTCTGACAGTGAAAATATTACAATTCTTTAAACGCGAATGAAACAGAATTAACATATAAATGTAAAATATCTATTCAAGTTAGTGCTTTGCATGATCTTCTTTGACTTCACTCTGCTGTATTCATTGTACGAAGAACTCATTCTTTTTATGGAAAGTTCAGGAATGAAAGCTTCGGAAGAGTTGGTTTTTGTCTCAGACCAATTATAAACAATCTCAATTACGACTAGAAGTTTCACCGGTCTCTAGCAGTTTGAGGATCCCACTAGCATCAAACGCCACACCTTTCGCTGTAAGAAAAATATAGCAAGTATCTTAGAAAACTATTCATGCATTCGTTCGTCCATCCACACCCATAGAGCTTTGTCGTGATTCCTTGTTTAAATGCGGAGTCGGCAGACGAGGTAATTCAACTATTTCACTGTTCTATCACCATATTTTGTATGAATGCATATACAATGCATTCAATTGACTCAACTAAAGTCAGTCTGTCTAATGCTTAGAATTTTGAAACAATCTGTATCGAAGAATACTCATATCTTTCGCTAACACCGTGGCAATTACTTTCAACATTACACGCTTTATTTTCGACGCGTATACTGTGTTATGAAATGCTACTTGTAAAACGTCACGCATTTTCTGGCGTATATGCATCGTCATATAATTTTAAAAGTTGTTTAAGTTGCCGACGCGAATGGTTACACCTATAAAAAAAATCAACCAACAAGATTCTTGATCTACTGCAACACAATACTATCTATTATTTGATTTTTGTAATAGATTTCCAACATTGACTAGTCCGAGTTCAGTACAGTAAAGAATGAAACCTGCACATATTAACTACTACACGAAATTTAGACGTAGGCCATTCTGTATGGCTTTTTATCCCAAATATTTTTTTTTGTCGGTTTGTACAGGTGAAGCACAAGTGTGCTGTATTGTCTGTCCTTTCCTTTCGTTCTCTTTCTCCTTACAATAAACGATTAGTGAGTAAATTAACTAAAATTGAAAACATACTTTTGCTCGTCTTATCTATCTTTAAATTAATTGTTTTTTTGTGCATAAATGAAAATTAATAGACTCGTCATCGTTTTGTTTAATTTTACTTTCACATTGCACTTTCTATTGCGAAGTTTAATGAACAGATAACGAGTGTATAAAATGCTATTACGTTCTTTCATTCGTACTTACTCATAAAATCTGAATGTAGAACGTGCATTAATTAACATTGACTCTCACCACTGTGTCTTGTAAAGATCCGAAAGCATCAACAGATAAGATAAACAGCATTGATACAAAGGGAATAAAATCATAGTGTAGATGGGTGTCAAGAGACAGCAATGCACGTATACGTGCTCCCTCATCCCCGTAAAGATATTCAGTTATACTCTCAATTCTAGATTTACTAAAACTTGATTTTAAAATAGAAATCCTTACAAGATAATCAACATTTTCCGTAATTTGACATTCATCCTGATAAACTGTTCATGCAAACCGTACAAGCATCAATCATATCACTGCACAGTGATCTCAAAACTATAAGTTCACTGCAAAGCAATACCAACAAACTTCAAATACCAAATATTCCCGATGAGCATATTATTATTTTAGATGAACACGCGCAAATTATCTTTACTAGTCAATACACATCTGATCAAATTATACGTGGAATTAAAAACTGGGAAATACTTCGCAAATTCTTCTGTGATGATTCAAACGTTGATAGTGTAGAAAACAACATTTCTCAGTATATTCTACAAACTGTGCGGCAACTAACGCCAAAACATATGACTGAGTTTATGCTCAAGCTTTGTAAATATCGCGCAGCCTACATCGATGATCTCTTAGATCAGCTCATGAAGCTATTTCCCAATCAAATCATTGTTGAAAACGAAGCAGGCAGCCGAGATCCTGAGTCTGATTATGATATTCGCTTGGCTTCGACCGATGGAAGTGATGTAGACATAGACGCTTGCGTTATGTTCAATGCTTTTTTCTCACTGCATTGGCACTTACCATCTGGTATTGTTTTCGATACTAATCTGTATCCAAGAGACATGGGTGCAATTGAACCGAAATATAAAGTCAAAGGGACAGGTCTGGGAATATTTCTACACCTACCGTGCGATTATCCGTACTATTTCTTCTATGAAGTTAATGATTATAAACAGAATAAAATATCAGCTGTTCAACTACGAAGATATATGACTGGAAAAGAATGGCAACTGTATATGGACATTAGGAAAAAAACTCATCCCGATGAGTCAGTGGAGACATTCTTTCACGATGTCGATAAAACATATTGGAAACACACGATGCATCTACTTTCGCATATACGAAAACCAAACCAATTAATTACGGATGCATTGAATGAAATCAAGAATATCAAACCTACCATTGGAACATCAACATACGATACTACTAAATTCGAAGCCTTGTGGAATAGAATTGCACAAGAACAGAAACATGTGTTAATGGAACGTGCCAATATGCTATATAGCAAATATCTTCGTCAAGCACGACAAATTGAGAGAAATATCCGAGTTCGAAAAGATCGATACGAAGATTCTATTTTAACACCAATACTTCGCATTCCTCCAAGTGAAATGCGTTATACCGACGCATTAATCGTCTCTATGAGACACAAATATGCCAAGGCCATCTACTTTGCTCACGATGCATGTGTAGCAGAAGGTGCGTTGTTTTACACTGGAGTCGATCAATATAACAATCATGCTGACCTGTCGTTTGTTAAAAACAGAAGAGTACGCGCAAATCTCATCACCAATAACCAGTTATACCAATCAATTAACGAACAGTACGCCGGATTTCTGAAAGACATTAAACATTATTCCTGTGAAAACAACAATGATGGCCGGGTAATTTATCGAAGCAGCAAGTATCTCTTTCGTTTACTGAACACGATCATCGACTCCGGAAGACATCGATGGAACAGAATGAGATTTGAACACAATGAAGATACGAAAAGTTTGAAAACAATGCTAGAAGAATTACTGTTACCCATTCGAAAAAGCAAATATCCGTTCGATGGACTTAGTGCGATATATCGCGCTCAAATAAGTGAATGTTTCGCATTGGCCATATTTGCAACGGATTCACAGTTGGAAAAGTATTGGCAATACCGTAAATCAACCTTGGAACAATCCAATACGTTATTCAAATATAAAGACCAACAGTGGGAGTTTATAAGAACATCAAATTATACCTCGGAAGTCAAACGTTTGCTAGTCAACGACCTACAAGCATCAGCGGTACAATTGCGAGAAAATAATTCGAACGGAGATATTTTTCTCAATATTAAATTATTACTGATAGCTGACCACCCCGAAGACAGTTATGTGGTGATTGACATGGATACTGACAGTCATTATGAATCTGCTCTAAGTGTTCTACCAGAAAAACCCTCGATACTAACCCAATATAAATCGTCCGTTAATCAAATTTTTATCAATTGCAAAGAAAAAATTTGTCATAATTACTTCCGTGGTACATTCGATCATGTTCCTGACATCGTTCGTTATCTACTCGATTGGAATGTCAGTCGATTCAATATTGTCACGAAATATCCACGCCGAGAAGAATATCGTCGCGTTAAACAATCCAAAGTATATGATTATATTACATTTAAAGATTATTTCGTGGGTATTATGTTGGGTATTATCTTAGCTTGCATTCAAATGTTCCTCATCGCTCCAATCATGTTTCTAACCAAACCTATTAACAAATCTATTTGGATACTTCGAACTCTCTGTAAACTTCATCAACCATCCGATCGGATCTTTTTAAACATGCGTGCTGCACATCGGACATTGATTACGCAATACATCCTAGTTGTTCATAATTATCGAATTATAGACACAGGTATTACCATTGCCGATGCTTATGGAACATCGAAACTTTGGGTGGGCTACATTATTGCGTTCATGCGTTTGTTATGCATTATCTTCGTCGAAGGAATTATCTGGTTTAGTTGGATCTCATTGATTCTGACTATTATATCTACAACTGCAATTAAAACGTTGTTAGCTTATCTGTACATCATTCGAGATATGTACTTAACATGTTCACTTGGTGTTTGTGCGATCACCATCATATTAAACACATGGACAACAATTAGACGTCAGTATTTGCTGCCAACTTCGAAAAACGTTCAGTATCTTGCCACGATTAGAGAAAATCAAAGCACGAGAGCATCCTATATATCCATGTTGTCTTATATTATCCTTGGCATCGTCTTAAATATTGTTTTAATTCTATTAGGAGATTACCACACATATGAACAATGGTTCAATATTATTCCATTTTCAAGATTCGTAGACGTTCGATCGACAGATTTTAATTCTGTGCAGTTAGTTGCACTTGTTATCACCCAGGGCGTAGCGAACACATTGATTGGTGTCGTTTATGAAAATGCCGGAGGTGAAGGACGGATTCCTGACTACGAGTTATCATGTCGAGATCGAATTGATCGAAAAGAGTGGTTAAATTTTCCAGTGGGAACAATCTGTTCCTTATTGAAGTTTATCAAAAGACGACGAGCAGAGTCTTCGAAGATTATTCCTTAACACGCGAGGATGTTGAGAGCAAAAATAGGAAGAAAAACAGAACCTGTAAATTTTGCCAATAAAATTTAAATACACTGTTTTGAAATAAAAAGACGATATATACTTCACTTATACTAGAAACATTTTCAATAGATGTGTTGCGGAGTGACTTTTCATCATCGAATGTATTAAATCCATTTTTTCACGGCGACGTCATAGTTATCAATGACAGGAACCAAAGCTATTTTCAGCTAGAATACTTCTATAGAACATTCATACAATGAACTTTTGAATTCACCGCTGGATGAACTTAACAGAATTCTCTTTCATCTCATAGAATGTTAAAAAGCGTCATTTAATAGTTAATCTTCTATTCAGCCTCGACCTCAATTGTTGATCTGTCATAAGAATGAATTCAAGTGATGTGCTGAATGCAAAGTGGCTTATTCCAGTAGATATTTTCAAGATTTTTTGTGCAAATTGTATTCTGCTAATCTCAATAATCTTTTTACTTGGCATCATCTTCGATAAAGCATGCCATACAATTCCAATGGCATTAGTATTTAATTCATGCTTAAGTACATTATTCTTTTCCTTGGTTCTTATAGGCACCTTAATCTGTACGTTGATCAACGATTTCAAAAGAATCACATATCAAGATTCTTTATGTACTTTTCGCACTTACCTCACCTACGTTGCGTATACTACTATCAATTATTCATTTTTACTTCAAGCCATCCATCGGTATGTAGTTGTTGTTTATCCATTACGTTTATTCTTTCAATCGAAACAAACGCAAATCGTTGCCATCAGTTGCACATGGCTATGCGCATTTGTTTATCCATTTGTATTCCTCTTCAATGGCGAAATTATCTACAATGATTATAATCAAATGTGTCAATTACGTTTCGATCTCTCGTTTTCAGTTATCTATGCTGGTTGCTTCGCTTACATCATTCCAATAGCAATCATTGTAATACTCTATATTGGATTAATTCGCCATGTTCAAGGAATGAGTCTTCGAATTACATGTGCGAATACATTGCACCGTGCACATCAACAATTACAGATGGTACAGCGAATTGTTTTGATTGTAATGATTCTCCTCACCACTGGTTTACCGTATGTCGTTTTTATTACATTATCATTTGCCGATCACCGATGGAAATATTTCCTCCGCATTGCTGACTTATTTGTCAGTATATCAATCATCTTAGTTTTGATTGCACTCTATCAATGTACAGATCCATTGAAAAAAGCAATGAAGAATATCATTCATCGACAAACCAATACTATTGTAGCACATATATCATAAGATGAGTGCATGGAAGCTGCTTCTCAAATGACTGTACAGCGTACGATGACTTCAATTCGTTCTTTTCTGGTTTTCTTGGATGTTAACAGTTCTGTTCAACTCTCAATGTTACGACTCTTTCTTCACCTAATTCCATTCTGTTTAATAAAAAAAAAGATATTTTCTCATCAACGTCTTTTTTTCGCTCATACTTGTTTTAAATAGACACGTTTTCTGAATTCAGAGCTGATTATGTCCAAAAAAGATTACATTCATTTTTATACCTTAAAATATTTCAATGCATGCTTAACGCCTTTTAACCTTCTCTGACATTTTACTGACATGGTATTTTCATGAAAACTACGAGCCTGACAAACATCCATTGGCGTCATCACGTTGCCTGAACGCGTTCTGTTTCTAACAAGATCGAAACGGACGCCAACGGTGCGACGTTAGATCAAGATCTGTTTTTACAGAGCTGAGTGTGTTAGCTCATAATTTCTCATTTCCGAGCAATGGCAATGCCGAATAACATACGCTTATGGCTCTTATTGGCTCCTCTTATACCGTCAATTATTGTCAGCATCTTCAATTTATATCATCTATTGAAAGATAAAGCTCTTCGAAATGCCCTCAATAATCATGTTATCATCTGTCTTTTGTCTTGTGGATTGTTTATCGAAGTAACAGATGTGACTTGGCAAGTTCATTATTATCGTACAAATACTGTTCTCATTGCTACGCCAAGTTTTTGCCTTGCTTGGACATACATTCGATCGATCTTTTTAATTGCTTCTTTCCTATTCATGGCCTGGGGTTCCATAGAACGACATATTCTCATATTTTATTCAAATTGCTTTTCAACGAAAACAAAGCGGCTGTTCTTTCATTATTTGCCCTTATGCATATGCTTCATATGTCCGTGTATATTCTATGCTATCGTATTATTCATTCTACCTTGTGCAGTTCCATACACATATGATTCTTGGATGTGCAATCGTTATTCATGCTACATTCGAACGCGATCGGCAGCTCTATGGGAAAGCATCATTCATTTTATATTACCGGCATTCATTACCACTTTCTCCAGTATTGTTTTACTTATTCGGGTCATCAACCACCGACATCGTATTCAGCAAAGAATTACTTGGAGAAATTATAAAAAGCTAGCCAGTCAATTGCTGCCAATCTCAGCTATCTATTTAATATTCGACTTGCCACCAATGACTTTGTACGCTGCATATTCAGCGGGTCTTTCATGGAGCTTCGCAGCAGATTATTTTTCGGATGGATTATTTCTTCTCTATTGGATAATCTTTCTCGTCCCGTTTGCAAGTGTCATGTCTTTACCTGACATACGAGCGAAATGTAAAGATGCAATTTTTTTCTGGCGAAGTAAACGTGTGACTATGCCGGTAGCAATGACAACGGCTCGTACGATACCTGGCAAAGCAAACGCACAGCGCACTCGACCCGCAGCATTAGCCAATGGAAAACAATAGACAATAAAAGCTTTACAAAATGTTTGAGAGCATGTGATTAAGCGTTGAGCGATAGTTCAATAAAAGTAAAGGATTGAAAATATCGACTCGAATACCAGTCTCTTTTCGCTTACGAGCTTTGAAACACTAATAGCCTTAATGACAAAACGCGTTGCTACTGTAGACTTATTAAAAAGCATGGCTTAAACTCCACCAAAGAGCAGCCATACTCCTGAGGCGAGCTTATTTTCAACGGAGAGAAAGCGAAATTGAATTGATTGCTGACGTCAGTAATGATCAAAAATAGAAGTATTTGTTTTTTCAAAAGAGTCCATTAAAAAATCCACGTCGCATTGCTTCATAAGTGACTCAGCCAACATAATTTTTTGGGATTTCTCCCTTGTTTCGCGACAGTATAAATGTAACGACAGGTATTCATTGGCAATTCATTTTTCCGACGACATGTTTGGCAAATACTTTATATTTGTGTTAGTGCTCCTGATCAAAGATCCCCGGGTAGCATATGCTGAAGACACGGATGAAACTTCCATTTACATGAAACGTGTAGCAAGTTATTTTGCTTCGTTGGATCCATTGAACTGGGTACCAAATTCAAACAAAATTGGTATAGGATACAACCCACTATACGGCAGTCCTGTTTGCTACACTGGGAGTTGTCAAGCAGATGGTTTTAAGCAACCGTTATTCAATTTAAAATATCGTCAACAAGCAGTTGGGTCGTGCACAAGTCAATTAATACCAGAGAATGTCGCATTAGATTGTCTACCATCAACCACTTGGGATGCTAGAACAGAGATCATAAGTGAATTGAATGAATTAAAAGAATCTATTACCAATAAAGTCGATGTCTCTCTTAGTGGTCAGCTACCTGGCATTGCATTTGCATACGAAACGTCTGTTGAAACTCGCTATGCGATCGATAATATCGTCAGGAAGTCCAGAACACTGATGCAAACAACCGCTCAGATATCATATATTAAACTATCAATGTTTGAGCCAGCAATGCAGCTAACCGATCAATTTAAATTTGTTATCAACAATATGCCATGCTGTAACTACACTGCTGACGTGCAAAAGTATATTTATACATATATATTCGATTATTTTGGTTATGCATATGTATCAACTGTACTGCTTGGTGGAATAGCTCAAGAAACGATTCTTATGACGAACGAATCGTATGAAAAACTCGAACAAAAAGGATTCGATGTAACAAATGCACTTAAATTGGAATTTTATGTGTCGTTAGACGCTAAACAAGAATACAGTTATGACAAAGATAAACATCAAGAATTCATGAGACAAGTAGAAGAAAAACACACAACAACGCTCGGCGGAGATACATCATTAACATCCATTGATGAATGGTCAACAACAGTTCCATCGAATCCTGTTATTGTCAAATTTAGTATTGGAAGTATTTTCGATCTGTTAACATCAACTCGATTTTCGAACGATACACTGATACATAACAAATCAGCATTGATCTCACAAGCGCTGAACAATTATGTGAATAGATCTGTTTATTGTTACAGTAACTGCACCAATCATGGTGCTTGCCAATCAGAATCGATTTTTCGAACTGGATCATGTAGTTGCACTGAAGGTTATACAACGTATGACTGTTCCGTTGCACCGATAAAAGCAGTACCAAACATGCCTGCCCATGCCAACACGCATTTCTATGACAAGACTCTATTTTTTACCGTATTTTATATTCTTACTTATATTTTGATTTTTAATTAATTATTCAAATAAAATAATTAAGTAGATAAAACATCTCTTCTCACGAAAATTATCTCAGGTAAAAGTTGATAACATATGCGCTGATGATGTAGTATAATTAGGCGTTAGATGAAAGGAGTAATTTAGTCGTCAAAAGTAGGTCGTACAAGAAAAACTTTGTTCTCAAGAGTATGATGACATGTCTACTTCATGATTCAAAACGACATAATTACTTACTTTTTTCAGCATAGAACTTATTTTTGAGTACAAATGTTCTAGATTGACGAATAAACGAAAGGTTCACTTGTTCAAATAATGCAACAACACAAATATACGATTATGATTATGATATTCGGACTCGTTTCAATCGATTTTGCTGAACTTTTACCAAAAAGTATGTAACTGGCAGTACCGTTTTCAACACCTAATAGAGACGATTATGCTGTCCTTGTCAATAGCCAACCAATGATAAATACATCCTATACAACTAATTCTGTAGTTGTGACAGGAGAATTCGATGCAATTTCAATTCTTACTCTATTCACATTTGCATACAAACGGTCTGCCCATAGTTAGCTCGTTTCATTTATACTTTGGGGACATCACAACATCGATCCGCGTATCTTATTCTAATGGAAGTGCTGCTACCAATGTTACAGTCAATCTCAATTTGATAGAAAATGCTCATGTAGGACAAAGTCATTCCACGAATCATCATGGCATAGCCGTTTTCCAAAACATTCCATCTTTATCTATTTTTATATCTGCTCGCACGAAGCAACACTATGCAAATTTAGTTGGAATTATACCTTCGGCGTCACAAATCAATCTTATCTTGATGTCACTCAAGGACAATGTAGAACTGGTCAAAGTACACACACTATCATGTGATCAGTGTCACAAGAACTGCAAAAGCTGTTCATCCAATCATATGTGGAATAGATGGCTACGCACTAGGTTACGGAATGAAGTATTATACGAAGTTTTCTTATTCTGTGAAAACGTTTACACCACGAGGTCAACGATGGATATGGAAAACGATGAACTGCCTAAAAAAATCTCTCGTTTCACCCTTAGAAAACTGTGCTAACAACTGTTCAGCTTTACGAAAGGATTGCTTTCGCTTCTCATCCGAGGTGCTATGTTAAAAGCGGTATGTGCGAGTTATCAGCATTCGACTGGATTAGAATCGTTTCGATTGTTGGTAAAGATTTATTCAAGCGTTCAGAGAATTCCTACAACGCACACCGGATCCGTTTGAAAGAATATCGCTGTTAATTTTAGAAGATTCATTGCCATACTACCGATGAAAGTTGCCCTAATGGTTGTAGCGGCTAGGCTACGATCATTACAGGAACATATTCTGAGGCTTTACTGATTTGATAAAAATAGACAATATAATCGTTGCTAAAAATGGAGAAAACACTGTCGGCGTAATATCTGACAATCAACGATTCTTCTTGAGTACAATGCAAATTGTTAATTAAGTTCTCGCATTAACTACGAATATCCAGACAAAATGAAGCGTAGCTTTCTCATTTGCGAAGCTCATGAGATAAGGAAATCAACCGGTAACAAGTTTAATGGTTGGATTAAGAGCTTTGAAGAAAAAAATCGGCTTATTTAAAATCATGCATTGAGTGATGTAAGTGTTGATTATTCTACCAGTCTTCTCATCACCTAAGAATTTCTCGAAAGCATGTAATTACACTTTGAATGTAATTACACGATGACTTGTTCTCATACATCTTTCGTAAATTATCTATCATGTTGTTTTTCAATTGAAATAAATGTTCTGTGATGTCGAGATTAGATACAGTCAATTATTCCATCGTCGACATCACTCTTAATTAACGCATTTTATACTGTTGTAGTACTTACTTTTCATATAGAAAAGAAAGTATAGGGCTACTTTTCTCAGAAGCTCTGATAGTTCTTTTGTACCCGTAAATTAATGGAAACAGTTCACATTTCATTATCTACAAGAATACTGACTTTAACATACTATATCATATCCTCTACCTTTTGTTTTTCAGCTTTTACTCGACTTGAGGCAGAAAAACACACGCACACTGAGCATTGTATATGTGAGCAGGTAACAACATAGACATTTTTACGGCTTTGCTTTGAAAGATCTTTTCTTCTCGTTTCAAAGACAACACTAACCAACTATCATGCTGCCAAGTATTGCTTTTACCATAATTTGGATGACGAACACTACTCTCACAGCACTTATTACACTTTTTATCATTGTTGTCCTGTTAATCCATTTATACCATAAACGAACTGTGGCAATGCTGCTGACTACGAATACATATGTGGGCATATTAACATTTTCTATTGTGCTCTTATCGACAAGCATTGATATTTTCAAAGCAGATGTGCTCGGAATGAGTGTGTTGATCGATAAGCCACTAGTTGCATGTCAATTTCAAGGATTTCTTCTCTACGAACGCTGCGGCTGCTGTTATTCGAGTTTTGTTCTTCAGGCAATCTATCGATTACTACGAGTTTTATATCCCAGACGGCTGTTCTTACAAGTACGTACTTCTATCAAATACGGAGAACTGTTTCAGCACGCGTGATAATGTTCTTTTGACTGTTCTAGTCCTACAAATTCAATTCCATTTGTATTATAATACAGTGGATTGTGTGCTTTCTTTTAATACTGCCGTCGTTTATTTACCGAGATGCATTTTTTGTACTGTACGAATCAGACTACTTCTGTGGCCTTCGGTATGAGAGAGTTCTTCAGTTTTGGTATATAGCCTTCAACATATATGTGCTGCCACTTATTTATATGGGTATCATCTATGCTAGACTATTCTACTTTGTAAGTCATCAAAACCCACAATTGCTACAGACACAACAAGGAAGAAGAGCACAACGTGATTACATCATTATGCGTCGTATCTTATTTACAATGATTGTTCTTCTTCTGGCAGGAATCCCAAACGTTGGTTTAGCTTTCTTAGCACAATTCAAGCCGAACTTATCTGGTGACTACTATATGTACCGAATTGAATGGATGGTTCCATCAGTCTCAATGTTAACTGTTAGTATCGGACTTGTGTTTATCACGCCGCAGCTGAAAACTGTCGTAGTGAGCTGTCTACAGCGAAAGAACCAAGTAGTACCTCAAGACAACACCAGATTTTAAGTACAGATCTTATTATCAGAGGAGACAGTTTTCACGCAAAAAGTACTCGTAACACCATTTCTTATAAAAATTTGTCAAACAGATTCATTGTTTTCAATACTTGTACGGATTACATTGCATTTTTTTAATGAGAAAAGCGATAAATACAATATTTTTAGTATGAAGAATATAGTCATCATCGGAATATGCAGAAGACGCAATTGTCTGCTCTGGAAATACGTATTCGTCGGTACTCGTTTGAGCAAAAGAAGAAAAATCTTGCTCGAACGATGATATTCGATTGGAGTTAACTAGTCAGGATAAATTATTTTTAGTTTTACTGATGCATGTGACTTTGATGAAGAACTTGGAAAATGATGTAAAAACTACGACGAAGCTGCTGACATGAAATAACTTGATTATATACAAGAATTCTTTTGCCTTCTCTTATCCAATGATTGGCGAGAATAGCACCACGGTTAATGTAAAACATTGTAGGAGATTTTTCGTCTTCATATGTTATTGGCATATTTACTTTATTTAGGTACTTAGGGATTGACTCTTCCATATGATAGTTGCGATGGAAGAAGTCAAATGTTGAGAATCTGATAGAAACGTTAGATAAAAGTATTTATTCTTATCCGACTAATCACATACCTTCTTAGAATCAATAAATCTATTTATGAACTTACAATTCACTATGTTTTTTGTCAACTATTGAATGAAAGATAGGCATATGATCAAGATTGTCACGTGTTTTACATGAGACGAGCGAAGAATGTATCGCATAAACAATACTTACTGTATATGTACTAGTTCGTTCATAAGCGAATTCTATGTATTAATGAAGCTTTGCCGGCGTAAAGCATTTTGTAACAAATAGTTGACGAAACTTGGAGAAACCCAGATAATTAGGAATTATGAAAAATTTTATAGAGTCAAAGCACGCATACAAGAATTCAATGTTGACCAAAAAATAAACCAGCGTAGATAACAAGAAGATGACAACTATATATATATCTTTGCCTTCGAACAACATTTATCTTGTCAGTAAATAAGAAATTTTCAAAAAAGGACTTTGTGATACGCTATGAAGACCACAATACATCGATTTCTACTTCTTTCAATACTATTTATCAGCAAATTATGCCAAAGTTCAGCTGTACATGAAGATCTGTACGTCGTGCCATCACCCGTAATAGGCAACGGTGATGGAACTCTTGCATCTCCTTATTCATCATTACAACAAGCTCTCCAACATGTCGAAAGTGAACGTATTCGCACTAATACGACATCACTATCCAGAACAACGGTTCATTTGTATCCAACCTATCATTTTGTGAACACTGTTCATATAACGCAAGCACACAATCGTATACGATTAACAACGATGACAGAGGAATATGCTACTCTATTTGATGAGTTATTTACTCGTGAAAAATCGCACCAACGATTAAAACAAGCTGTTATTAGTGGCGGAATGCCAGTAACTGGCTGGACACATGTCAGTGGAAATGTCTACAGTGCAGTTGTGCCATCTCCCCTGTTTGTTAACCAATTATTTGTCAATAATCAACGAATTGTTCGCACACGTATTCCCACAAATTTCTCCGAATATTTACAATATGCCGCCCCTTTGAACGATTCCATTCAATCAAGGTACGGTTTTCAATATGTTCCTGGTCAGTTCAATTATACATCATTATCAGATGCTATGGTTATTATTTATCATAGTTGGACCGAGTCCCATCACTATATCGATCGATTAATACCATCGAATAATACGATTTTCTTTACGAATCCATCGCAGTATCCTATTGGAGAATTTACTCAGCAAGCGCAACGACGATTTCATATTGAAAACCTTTGTGAAGCACTCGTTGCTAATTCATTTTGTTTCGTCAATGAAACGAAAACTGTTTTCTTGATGACAGATGGTTCCTATGATCCGACCACAGCGCAAATCATCACGTCCGTACAAGAAATCGTTGTTTCACTGGTAAGTAACAGTACAACAGATCCTGTTCGAGATTTTATCGTTGACAACATTGCTATCCAGCATGGTGCATGGCATATAGGTCGTACTGAACAAGCCAATTCAGCTTCAGCAGCATTTCTCACGTCGGTTGCATTTTTTATCGCTAATGCAACATCGATCACTATTTCTAATGTGGAAATTAGTCACACAGGCTCCTACGGACTACGACTACGAGAAGGAACTTCGAATATTGTTTTTATGAATTCACTCATCAACGATACAGGTGCTGGTGGCGTCTGGGTTGGTGATTGGGCGACATCACCGTCCATATTAGCAAATTCCAATAAGATTCTTTCCAATGAGATCAGCTATGGTGGCAATGTTTTTCCCAGTGCTGTAGGAGTTTTAGTTTTTCGTGCCTATGATATTATCATCGCAGATAATAGTATTCATCATCACCGATACAACGGTGTATCTGTTGGTTCACAGAACGGCTATGACGAATCGTTCACATGGAAAATTCTAATCATAGGAAACTATATTTACACAATTGGTCAACATATTCTCTGTGATCAAGGCGGAATCTATACAATTGGTATTCAACCAGGTACCATTATTCATGGTAATGTGATAAAAAATGTGTACAGTTATGCAGTATATATGTGGGGTATATATCTTGATGATGGCGCATCGAATATTCTTGTTTCAAATAATGTAGTGTACAATACAGGTTGGAGCTCGTTATTTCAACATTATGGTGCGAACAATACCATTGTCAACAATGTTTTTGCTCGCGCATCGTTGATTGAACCGCCACACCCGGGCGATGCTTTTCCAGATGGTGACGTTCGTATTCAACTTGCTGAAAACCATACCTCATGGACATATACACGCAATATTGTGTATGACGTTTACCAGGGAGCAAATCATTCAGCCTACAAAACTGATCCGCATGTTACGTCAATATCAAATAATAATGTTTATTTCAATCCTTATGGGACCTTGTTACTGTTCGGTCCGGACAAAGTGCCGTTTGATGAATGGCAAAAGGCAGGCCATGACAATGGAAGTGTTATGGCTGATCCGTTATTTTTAGGCGATGTTAATCAGTGCGACTTCTTTACGGTAAAACCAAACAGCCCAGCAGCAGAGCTTGGATTTGTTAATCTCACAAAACCGAGCCAATGGAGTCCGGGTTGTGATGATGGTGGTGGTGAAGCTCAAATCAGTAATCAATTTTATCGTTGGTAATCAGGATATATTCAATGGATATTTGACTGACTCTTAATCGATATCATCGTAGTTCTTTTTATTGTGATTTTTTACATTTTAGTGATGAGAGCGAATAAATGATTGATATATGTTCTACGAGTTCTTGAAGTTCACTAGCGACGACTTTCTGGGGATCATATTAATATAGCAGTGTATCATCTGATGAACTCAACTAAAACGGTTTTATTCGAAAAAGAAAACCATCACAAATCTTTATTAGTATGATACAAAGCATTCGATGTTGATTCCTTGGACTCGTTTAAACTTTCATGTGTCTTGTTTGCGACTGATGATATGTAAATATTCCAAATTGCGCCGGCAAGACTTGCAACAAACGGTCGATAATCCAAAGGAATAAAACGGAAATTGACAAACGATACAAATGGCCAATAACATGCACCAGCCAGATAGGTTTTCGGCATATCATCTTTCACTTTTTTCTTCGCATCAGAAAAGGTTTGACCTTTGAGAAGAGTAACACTCGTAAAAACGAGACTAATACCGATGGGCGCAACCAGGATGTTGATTAACATTTTCTTACCGATTTGAGCAATTTGTTTCCCTGTTGGATACAAGTGGAAAAAATCGAAGGAATTTTGTTCGTTCTAACCTGGAAATATTCGTTCGATTGTTCTAGAAATTGTAAAATTCCAAGGTGTTGATACTAAAACAGCTGTGGTGCACATGACGGCCGATCGCTGACGGTCCCACCAAGGTAGAAACGTGGGAGGTGGGGATGATGGTTTTGCATGTTGATGGTGTCTTTGTAAATATTGACAGATGAAATCCCCTACTGTAACACTGGCGCTAATGGCAAGCGTGGAATAAATGTATGGCTTAACCAATCTACGCCATCCTAAACAGAAGAAATCGTTATCGTTTTTTTTGCGACAGACGTCATCGTTGAGTTAGAATACCGTGTTGAGTTCTTAGAACAGCTTTAGCTGCGTTTGAAACAGCAGATGTAGTAACGGACATGCAAAAGTTGGTTTCTCGAGAAAATAACGTGCGCACAAAAAGAACGAAGTCAAAACAACATGATGCAACGTATACTTTTCTTTCTGTTCTTCCAATGTATAGCTGTATTTTCTTTTGCCACAATATTTTTTCTGTTCTGTTCTTGGTTGTCGTTTGATGACGCATGCAGAATAAAAAGAGGTATGTTGGAAGATTTCACTCTCCGTATTAGTGAATTGCATCATCTAGTTAGTCAAGGATGACCTTGATTGACAAAAAGAGAAAATAGCAGCGAGTAGTTTCGATCTACCGACCTCTGAGTTATGAGCCCAGCACGCTTCCACTGCGCCACGCTGCTGTACTTTAACTATCATTCAACATCCTTAGATTTCTGTCACTAGATTATTTTTGCGATTTCATATCCAAAAAAAGCCACTACAGAAAAAAAGATGTGTAAACCGTTATCTCAAACATCGGACTCTCGAGTATATTTTCTTTTGAGCGAAACGTCTTCGTCTGAGTCGACACGGCCAACCGCTGGAGTATTTATCTTGATTCTCTTGAATTTCTTGCCCAACGCCATAAGAACGATAACGAGGACAATTCCGATTACACAAAGAACAATCAGCACGAGCATGAAGGTATCATAGTTGGTTGGTGGACCTTGAAATATGAAATGACAAGAAAGAGATTTAAATTCTAACGCACTCGGAAGTAGTTCGTGTTGATACATACCATTGCTGTTCACATGATGCGTCGCTTCCGCACGCAAATCTTGCTGATAGATTTTAGTCCAAGGAGCCATATGGGTTACTCTTCAGCAACTTGCTTGTATTCTGTAGTTATTTATCTATTTAAATACATCTTGTTAGTTATCTTATACTGATAGACACTTATCATAGAAGTGTCTAAACATCGTCTATAACCAGAATCCGACTTGTGTTAGTTTCACCTATCTCAATATCTCTTTTTATTTGAAAGTGAATTTTTTACGATTTCTGAATTGCAGTCACTCTTCTTTGTAAAATTCAAAAACAAAATGTATCGGTAGAAACTTGACTATCTTGAAGATTGAAACTCTTTCAGTATGCTAATTCTGAAATGGTTTATCATCGGACTAGCAGTGTTTTCTTTATGTTTCTCTCTTGACAAATGTTTATACATATCTTAGCAGAGAATTCTAATATTCGTTAATTTATTGACCGGCTAGAGAGAAAGAGTCTACAACTAAAAGTGAGATTTTTGTTGTTGAGAAGTCATTGTTAATCTTTTTTCGGAGCTGAATCACCGTATAAATGTTTACTGTGTTCTTTCGTATAACGTTCGCCAGCAGTATCCGCGTTTTGACAAGCCTGCCGAATTTCCTCGATTTCTTCCTTGCTCAATTTAACTTGACTTGCACCGATGTTTTCGTCAAGGTTTTTAATTTTTGTCGTTCCCGGGATGACGAAAAACTGTTCACCTTGTGCCAATATCCAAGCTAATGTCAATTGACCTGTTGTGCAACCTTTCTTCTGAGCAAATTTCTGCAATTGCTCCACTAATTGAAGATTTTTCGGGAAGTTTTCTTTGGAAAACCTCGGCAAGTGCCGACGGAAATCGTTCTGCTCGAAATCATCTGCACTTTTGTATTGTCCAGTTAGCATTCCGCGACCTAACGGTGAATAACAAACGACGGCAATGCCAAGTTCTTGACATGTTTTCAAAACACCGATTTCTTCTCGTTCGATATCTAAACTGAATGGTGAATACTCCACTTGAACAGCTGCGATTGGATGAACTTTGTATGCACGACGAATCGTATCACTTGAGCATTCCGACAAGCCAATATATTTGATTTTTCCTTGCTCAACAAGTTCTTTCATCACGCCCATTGTTTCTTCAATAGGCACCTTAGGATCGATTCGATGAATATAATAAAGGTCGACATATGGTAGTTGTAAATTTTTCAAACTTTTCTCAATCGATTGTCGGACATATTCAGCATCACCGCGAACAGTAGCTGTGCCATCCGGAGAAAATACGTTGGCGAATTTTGTTGCCAAGAAGACCTATTCAATGACAAGAAGACACGACGTTTGTCGTTTCCATCCAATGGAGAAAAAGACACGTTCCATCTTACCTTCTGACGTTTTTCCGGATTTTTCTTGAAATACTTTCCGATCAATTCTTCATTATCACCATAAATATCAGCACTGTCGATGTAAGTACTTCCGAGTTCTATAGCACGATCAAGAACCTTGAAACGCTCTTCATCCGGAGCTGGTGTACCATAGAAAGCAGATAAACCCATAGCTCCGAAACCAATTGCTGACACTTTAGGACCATTTGTGCCTAATTGACGTTCAGGGACACTCGTAGCCATTACTTTGTTTTAATAATTCACAAATGAAATCGACTTCGTTCTCGATAAATATGCGATATGTGTATATTATAAGAATGGAGAAAAACAAACTAATGTTTGTGCTAGAATGACGATGCAAAAAAAAAGAAAAGAAAAGAAAATACGCAGAAGAAAATCAACTGTAGGTGTCGGTTCAAACAGGTTACACGTTCTGTGTTTTGTCAAATACAGACAAGCTCTTCTATACTGCGTTGTTTTTTGCTTTATATTCATTGTCACGGACGTTATCTTCTTGGTTAGAAACAATCCTCTTAATAATGTTCACGGGGATAGATGTAACTTGAATAAAGTGCACAATCAGTAAACGGACTAGCGTAGTTTTTGTCATCAAATACTGAAAATTTCAGTTCATAAAGTAACTTTATTTATCAATTTTTTCAGACAACAGAAAATGTACTAGCTGAAGCACCTGATACCTTCTTGCCCAAATAGTAGACGTCCCATGAATCCTTGGCGTAGCCGTTTCCAAGGACTCTGAAGGTACTGGCCGAAGCACCTGAAATCTTTTGCCCCATACAATAAACATCCCAAGAGTCTTTAGCGTAACCATTGCCAAGATCTTGGAATGTACTAGCTGAAGCACCCGAGAGTTTTTGTCCCATATAGTAAACATCATAACTGTCTTTGGCGTAACCACTACCTAAAATTTTAAACGTACTAGCGGATGCACCTCTGATCTTTTCTCCTGCCCAGTAAACATCGTAGCTATCTTTACCATATGCTGATGGAAAATTGACATTGTTTGGATTCACTGAGGGTTTTGCTGTTGTTAGAGATCGTAAAGCATATTTCAAATCATCATCGGCATCGTCGAATAATTTCTGATGAAGACGACCTGCCAGTGCTTGATTGTTCATTAATAAACAGCATAGCAGAAAGGTATACACTGTAGCTGAAGTCATTTTGGTTGTTAAAATGAAAAATACTATCGTAAATCAACGTCGCAAATGCTCATTTATATTGTGAAAGATAATCTTGTTAGCCAATATTTAATATGTATGCATTACTCTTGCAGATAAGTGTATAAAACTTTATTGAAGGAGTATGAAGAAACTAAATCTGCTTACATAGATTACGAGTTTTAACTCTGAAAACCTTTCTGACACAGTATATACTTGCATCAATAATAATCCTTGTCAATACGATAAATAAGATTACTTAATAGGCTTTTCGTCAATCTGTGTTCTGAAGTTTATCATAGCTTTCAAAGGCCGCACAGGAATTGTGAACTCATGGATGAATATAGCATTCATTTACACCGCTGCGCATATTCCTCTTTTGATCTCTTATACTCTTCAAACGATTAATTAAATTTGAACCGATCTATTCATATGTAATTATATGAAAGAGAAAAACAAAATGGTGTAAATCAAAAAAATTAATCCGAGACACAATGAAATCCTAAAAGTAAAAATTAACATGAATCCAAGTGTAATGCTATCGTCAATTGTATATCATTTGGCTGGACTTGATATCCGAAAAGTTTGCACAAAACACTTTTCAGTTCCTTTCGGAAAAGGCGACTTGTTAATGTATACAAATAAAAACTTGAGCAAGGACCAATATTCGACAGCATTCCAACAATTGTAATAACCAAATCTTCGTGTGCAATGTCGAGAATAGTCTTCCCTGAACTTCTATTCATTGATATGTAAATAAATGCTACACAAAATATCGATCCTGTTATGCCGTAAATAAACACTTGGGTGAATAACATTCGACATAATTGTCGATCTGAAACTTTTGCCTTTAGTTTTACACAGTTGACGCGAGCCGTCATATACAGAGTCTCTTTTTCACGAACATGTCTCANACCAGTTATACCAATCAATTAACGAACAGTACGCCGGATTTCTGAAAGACATTAAACATTATTCCTGTGAAAACAACAATGATGGCCGGGTAATTTATCGAAGCAGCAAGTATCTCTTTCGTTTACTGAACACGATCATCGACTCCGGAAGACATCGATGGAACAGAATGAGATTTGAACACAATGAAGATACGAAAAGTTTGAAAACAATGCTAGAAGAACTACTGTTACCCATTCGAAAAAGCAAATATCCGTTTGATGGACTTAGTGCGATCTATCGCGCTCAAATAAGTGAATGTTTCGCATTGGCCATATTTGCAACGGATTCACAGTTGGAAAAGTATTGGCAATACCGTAGATCAACCTTGGATCAATCCAATACCTTATCAAAATATAAAGACCAACAGTGGGAGTTTATAAGAACATCAAATTATACCTCGGAAGTCAAACATTTGCTAGTCAACGACCTAAAAGCATCAGCAGTACAATTGCGAGAAAATAATTCGAACGGAGATATTTTTCTCAATATTAAAGTATTACTGACAGTTGACCGCCCCGAAGACAGTTATGTGGTGATTGACATGGATACTGACAGTCATTATGAATCTGCTCTAAGTGTTCTACCAGAAAAACCCTCGATACTAACCCAATATAAATCATCCGTTAATCAAATTTTTATCAATTGCAAAGAAAAAATTTGTCATAATTACTTCCGTGGTACACTTGATCATGTTCCTGACATCGTTCGTTATCTATTCGATTGGAATATCAGTCGATTCAATATTGTCACGAAATATCCACGCCGAGAAGAATATCGTCGCGTTAAACAATCCAAAGTGTATGATTATATTACATTTAAAGATTATTTCGTGGGTATTATGTTGGGTATTATCTTAGCTTGCATTCAAATGTTCCTCATTGCTCCAATCATGTTTCTAACCAAACCTATTAACAAATCTATTTGGATACTTCGAACTCTCTGTAAACTTCATCAACCATCCGATCGGATCTTTTTAAACATGCGTGCTGCACATCGGACATTGATTACCCAAGACATCCTAGTTGTTCATAATTATCGAATTATAGACACAGGTATTACCATCGCCGATGCTTATGGAACATCAAAACTTTGGGCGGGCTATATTATTGCGTTCATGCGTTTGTTATGCATTATCTTCGTCGAAGGAATTATCTGGTTTAGTTGGATTTCATTGATTCTGACTATTATATCTACAACTGCAATTAAAACGTTGTTAGATTATCTGTACATCATTCGAGATATGTACTTAACATGTTCACTTGGTGTTTGTGTGATCGCCATCATATTAAACACATGGACAACAATTAGACGTCAGTATTTGCTGTCAACTTCAAAAAACGTTCAGTATCTTGCCACAATTAGAGAAAATCAAAGCACGAGAGCATCCTATATATCCATGTTGTCTTATATTATCCTTGGCATCGTCTTAAATATTGTTTTAATTCTATTAGGAGATTACCATACATATGAACAATGGTTCAATATTATTCCATTTTCAAGATTCGTAGACGTTCGATCGACAGATTTTAATTCTGTGCAGTTAGTTGCACTTGTTATCACCCAGGGCATAGCGAACACATTGATTGGTGTTATTTATGAAAATGCCGGAGGTGAAGGACGGATTCCTGACTACGAGTTATCATGTCGAGATCGAATTGATCGAAAAGAGTGGTTAAATTTTCCAGTGGGAACAATCTGTTCCTTATTAAAGTTTATCAAAAGACGACGAGCAGAGTCTTCGAAGATTGTTCCTTAACACGCGAGGGTGTTGAGAGCAAAAATATGAAGAAAAAAAAACCTGTAAATTTTGTCAATAAAATTTGAATACACTGTTTTAAAATGAAAAGACGATATAAACTTCACTTATACTAGAAACATTTTCAATAGATGTCTTGCGGAATGACTTTTCATCATCAAAAGTATCGAGCAACTTCCTCGAATGCATTGAATCCATTTTTCTACGGCGATTTCATAGTTATCAATGACAGGAACCAAAGCTATTTTCAGCTAGAATACTTCTATAGAACATTCATACAATGAACTTTTGAATTCATTGCCGGATGAACTCAACAGATTTCTCTTTCATCTCATAGAATGTTATAAAGCATTATTTAATAGTTAATCTTCTATTCAACCTCGGACTCCATTGTTGATCTGTGATCGGAATGAATTCAAGTGAAGTGTTGAATACAGAGTGGCTTATTCCAGTAGATATTTTAAAAATTTTTTGTGCAAATTGTGTTCTTCTAATCTCAATAATCTTTTTACTTGGCATCATTTTTGATAAAGCATGTCATACAATTCCAATGGCATTAGTATTTAATTCATGCTTAAGCACATTATTTTTTTCCTTGGTTCTTATAGGCACCTTAATCTGTACGTTAATCAACGATTTCAAAAGAATCACATATCAAGATTCTTTATGTACTTTCCGTACTTACCTCACCTATGTTGCGTATACTATCATCAATTATTCATTTTTACTTCAAGCCATCCATCGGTATGTAGTTGTCGTTTATCCATTACGTTTATTCTTTCAATCCAAACAAACGCAAATCGTTGCCATTAGTTGCACATGGCTATGCGCATTTGTTTATCCATTTGTATTCATCTTCAATGGCGAAATTATCTACGATGATTATAATCAAATGTGTCGATTACGTTTCGATCTCTCGTTTTCAGTTATCTATGCTGGCTGCTTCGCTTACATCATTCCAATCACAATCATTGTAATACTCTATATTGGATTAGTTCGCCATGTTCAAGGAATGAATCTTCGAATTACATGTTCGAATACGTTGCACCGTGCACATCAACAATTACAAATGATACAGCGAATTGTTTTGATTGTAATGATTCTCCTCACCACTGGTTTACCGTATGTTGTTTTTATTACATTATCATTTGTCGATCACCGATGGAAATATTTCCTTCGCGTTGCTGACTTATTTGTCAGCATATCAATGATCTTAGTTTTGATTGCACTCTATCAATGTACAGAGCCGTTGCAAAAAGCAATGAAGAATATCATCCAACGACATACCAATACTGTTGTAGCACATATATCATAAGATGAGGGTGTGAAAGCTGCTTCTCAAGTGGCTGAACAGCGTACCATGAGTTCAATTCGTTCGTTCCTGATTTTCTTGGACGTTCACCGTTCTTTTCAGTCCTCAATGTTACGACTCTTTCTTCACCTCATTCCATTCTGTTCAATAAACTAAGATATTTTCTCAATAAGACCTTTTTTCGTTCATACTTGTTTGAGTAGCGTAGAGATCGTTAATCCGATTCGAGCATTAAACCACTTCATCGAGTTTCCAACTTTATTTTTAACTATACGACTATCAGTTATCAACAACTAACGGTAAGGAATGTCGTTCACATTGACCCTGGCTGTGCCGTTGTAGGCTGCACCCAGACCCTCAAGATAATCAGTTAGTTAATAATTGCTAATCAGTTAGTTAGTAGATGATAGGTAGTTAATCATTTAATAATTAGAATTTAGCTAGTGGATGTTTAATAGCTAATTAGTTCAGAGTTTAAGACTCGAGTACTCGAATTCTAAATTTATAAGTTTAATACTCGAATAGTCTCTTCAACTTTTACATGTATGAAGCCTTAATGACAAAACGCGTGCTACTGTAGATTTATTAAAAAGCATGGTTTAAATCCCACCAAAGTGCAGCCATACTCCTGAGGCGAGATTACTTTCAGCGAAGAGAAAGCGAAGTTTAATTGATTGCTGACGTCAGTAATGATGAAAGACAAGTATTTGCTTTTTCAAAAGAGTCCATTAAAAATATACTTCGCATTGCTTCATAAGTGAGTCAGCCAGCATAGTCTTTTTGGATTTCTCCCTGGTTTCGCGACACTATAAACGTAACGACAAATATTTGTTGGCAATTCATTTTTTCGACGATATGTTTGGCAAATACTTTATATTTGTGTTAGTGCTTCTGATCAAAGATCTCCGGATAGCATATGCTGAAGAAACGGATGAAACTTCCATTTACATGAAACGTGTAGCAAGTTATTTTGCTTCGTTGGATCCATTGAACTGGGTACCAAATTCCAACAAAATTGGTATAGGATACAATCCACTATATGGCAGTCCTGTTTGCTACACTGGGAGTTGTCAAGCAGATGGTTTTAAGCAACCGTTATTCAATTTAAAATATCGTCAACAAGCAGTTGGGTCGTGCACAAGTCAATTAATACCGGAGAATGTCGCATTAGATTGTTTACCATCAACCACTTGGGATGCTAGAACAGAAATCATAAGTGAATTGAATGAATTAAAAGAATCTATGACCAATAAAGTCGATGTCTCTCTTAGTGGCCAGCTGCCTGGCATTGCATTTGCATACGAAACGTCTATTGAAACTCGCTATGCGATCGATAACATCGTCAAGAAATCCAGAACACTGATGCAAACAACCGCGCAGATATCATATATTAAACTATCAATGTTTGAGCCAGCAATGGAGCTAACCGATCAGTTTAAATTCGTGATCAACAATATGCCATGCTGTAACTACACTGCTGACACGCAAAAGTATATTTATACATATATATTCGATTATTTTGGTTATGCATACGTATCGACTGTGCTGCTTGGTGGAATAGCTCAAGAAACGATTCTTATGACGAACGAATCGTATGAAAAACTCGAAACAAAAGGATTTGATATATCAAATGCACTTAAAATGGAATTTTATGTATCTTTAGAAACTAAACAAGAATACAGTTATGACAAAGAAAAACATCAAGAATTCATGAGTCAAGTACAAGAAAAACACACAACAACGCTCGGCGGAGATACATCATTAACATCAATTGATGAATGGTCAACAACAGTTCCATCGAATCCTGTCATTGTCAAATTTAGTATTGGAAGTATTTTCGATCTATTAACTCGAACTCGATTTTCGAACGATACACTGATACGTAATAAATCAGCATTGATCTCACAAGCGTTGAATAATTATGTGAATAGATCGGTTTATTGTTACAGTAACTGCACCAGTCATGGTGCTTGCCAATCAGAATCGATTTTTCGAACTGGATCATGTAGTTGCACTGAAGGTTATACGACGTATGACTGTTCCGTTGCACCGATAAAAGCAGCACCAAACATGCCTGCCCATGCCAACACGCATTTCTATGACAAGACTCTATTTTTTACCGTTATTTATATTCTTACTTATACTTTGATTTTTAATTAATTATTCAAATAAAATAACTAAATAGATAAAAACATCTCTTCTCACGAAAATTATCTCAGGTAAAAGTTGATAACATACACGTTGATGATGTAGCATGACTAAGGCGTTAGATGACAGGACTAGTTTAGTCGTCAAAAGTAGATCGCATAAGAAAACCATTGTTCTCAAGAATATGGTGTCATATCTACTTCATGCTTCAAAACGATACATTTTCTTCAACATAGAACTTATTTTTCAGTACAAATGTTCACTTGTTGAAACAATGGAACAACACAAATATACGATTATGATTCTGATATTTGGACTTGTTTCAATCGGTTTTGCAGAGCTTTTACCAGAAAGTATGTATCCTTTGCATATTATTCTTACTATTTTCTCGTATATTAAAGCCAATCATGCTGCATCTCAAGGAGTAGTTCGTCTTATCAATGTTCATGAGTTTGCTTTTAATGGTGGAAAACCAGCTGTGCAACTGGCAATACCGTTTTCAACACGTAATAAAGATAATTATGCTGTCTTTGTCAATGGTCAATCAATGATGAATACATCTCATACAACTAATTTCGTAGTTCTAACAGAAGAATCCGATGCAATTTCAATTCTTACACTATTCACTTTGCATACAAACGGTCTACCCATAGTTAGCTCATTTCATTTATACTTTAGGGACATGACAACATCGATCCGCGTATCTTATTCTAATGGAAGTGCTGCTACCAATGTTACAGTCAATCTCAATTTGATGGAAAATCCTCATGTAGGACAAATGCATTCTACGAATCATCATGGCATAGTCGTTTTCCAAAACATTCCATCTTTATCTACTTTAATGTCTGCTCGCACGAAGCAACACTATGCAACTTTAGTTGGAATTATACCTTCGGCGTCACAAATCAATATTATCTTGATGCTCGCGCATTCAATGACAATGCAGAACTGGTCAAAGTATACACACTATCATGTGATCAGTGTCACAAGAATTGCAGAAGCTATTCATCGGATCCCATGTGGAATAGATAGCTATGCACTAAGTTACGGAATGAGGTATTGTACGAAGTTTTCTCATTCTTTGAAAACGTTTACACCACAAGGACAACGATGGATATGGAAAACGATGAACTGCCTACAAAAATCTCTCGTTTCACCCTTAGAAAATTGTGCTAACAACTGTTCAGCTTTACGAAAGATTGCGTTCGCTTCTCATTCGACCTGCTATGTTAAAAGCGGTGTTTGCGAGTTATCAGCATTCGACTGGGTTAGAATCGTTTCGATCGTTGGTAAAGATTTGTTCACCTCCAATGGATTTATTCAAGCGCTCAGTACATTCTCACAATGCACACCGGATCTTCTTGAAAGAATCTCACTGTTAATTTTAGAAGATTCATTGCCACTACCGGTGAAAGCTGCACTAATTGATATAGAGACTTGGGTACGATTATTACAGAAACATATTCTGAGGCTTTACTGATTTGATAAAAGTAAACAATATAATCGTTGCTAAAAATGGAGAAAACGCTGTCGGCGTAATATCTGTGAATCAACGATTCTTCTTGAGTACAATGCAAATTATTAACTAAGTTCTCACATTAACTATGAATATCCAAACAAAATGAAGCATAGATTTCTCATTTGCGAAGCTCATGAGATAAAGAAATCAGTCGGCAACAAGTTTCATGGTTTGATTAAGAGCTTTTTGAAGAAAAAAATCGGCTTATTTAAAATCATGCATTAAGTAGTGTAAATGTTAATTATCCTACCAGTCTTCTCATCACCTAAGAATTTGTCAAAAGCATGCAATTACGCGATGACTTGCTCTCGTACATTGCTTGTAAATCATATATTATATTGTTTTTCAATCAAAATAAATGATCTTTGATGTCGGATTAAATACAGTCAATTCTTCTGCCGTCAATATCGTTCTTAATTAACGCATTTGATACTGATGTAGTACTCACTTTTCATATAAAAAAGAAAGTGCCGATGTAGGTTGAAATTTTTAGGAGTTTGTTGATACATACGTTGGTGAGCTCCCATGCAAAAAAAAACGGGACTTTTTTCTCAGAAGCTTTGATAGTTCTTTTTCGCCCGTTATTCAATGGAGACAGTTTACATTTAATTATCTACAAGAATACTTACTTTAATATATATCATATCCTCTATCTTTTGTCTTTCAGCTTTTACTTGAGTTGAGGCGGAGGAACGCACACACTGAGCATTGTATATATGAGTAGACAACAACATAGACATTTTTACGGCTTTGCTTTGAAAGATCTTTTCTTCTCGTTTCAAAGACAACACTAACCAGCTAGCATGCTGCCAAGTATTGCTTTTACGATAATTTCGATGACGAACACTACTCTCACAGCGCTTATTACACTTTTTATCATTGTCATCCTGTTGGTTCATTTACAACATAAACGAACTGTGACAATGCTCCTGACTACGAATACATATATGGGTATATTAGCATTTTCTATTGTGCTCCTATCAACAAGCATTGATGTTCTCAAAGCAGATGTGCTCGGAATGAGTGTGTTGAGCGAAAAGTCACTAGTTGCATGTCAATTTCAAGGATTTCTCATCTACGAACGCTTCGGCTGCTGTTATTCGAGTTTTGTTCTTCAGGCAATCTATCGATTACTACGAGTTCTATATCCCAGACGGCTGTTCTTACAAGTACGTACTTCTATCAAATACGGAGAACTGCTTCAGCACAGGTGAGAATGTTCTTTTAACTGTTCTAGTCCTTCAAATTCAATTTCATTTGTATTATAATACAGTGGATTGTGTGCTTTCTTTTAACACTGCCGTCGTTTATTTACCGAGATGCATTTTTTGTACTGTACAAATTAGACTACTGCTGTGGCCTTCGGTATGAGAGAGTTCCTCAGTTTTTGTATATAATCTTCAACGTATTTGTGCTGCCACTTATTTATATGAGTATCATCTATGCTCGACTAATCTACTTTGTAAGTCATCAAAACCTACAATTACTACAAACACAACAAGGAAGAAGAGCACAACGTGATTACATCATTATGCGTCGTATCTTATTAACAATGATTATTCTTGTTTTGGCAGGAATCCCAAACCTTGGTTTAGCTTTCTTAGTACATTTCAAGCCGAACTTATCTGGTGATTACTATATGTACCGAATTGAATGGATGGTTCCATCAGTCTCAATGCTAACTCTTAGTATCGGACTTGTGTTTATCACGCCACGGCTGACAATTGTTGTGGTGAGCTGTCTACAACGAAAGAACCAAGTAGTACCTCAAGACAACATCAGATTTTAAGTACAGATCTTATTATCAGAAGAAACAGTTTTCACGAAATAGGTATTCGTATAGCGCCGTCTCTTATTAACATTTGTCAGATAGGTTCATTTTTTTCAGCACTTGTACAGATTACATTGCATATTTTTTAATGAGAAAAGTAATAAATTCAATATTTTTAGTATCAAGAATGTTAGCCATCCTGGGAATATATATTCGTCGGTGCGCATTTGAGCGAAAGAAGAAAAATCTTGTTCTTCGAACGATAACATTCGTTTGGAGTTAACTAGTCAAGATAATTTATTTTTAGTCTACTGATGCATGTGACTTTGATGAAGAACTTGGACAATGGCGTAAAAACTACGACGAAGTTGCTGACATGAAACAACTTGATTATATAATTACAAGAATTATTTTGTCTTCTCTCGTATAATGATTGGCGAGAATGGCACTACGGTTAATGTAAAAATGTAGGAAAATTTTCGTCTTCATATGTTATTGTTATATTTACTTTATTTATGTACCTATGGATTGACCCTGTCATATGCTAGTTGCGGCGGAAGAAGTCAAATGATGAAAATCTGATAGAAACATTAGATAAAAGTATTTATTCTTATCCGACTAATCACATATCTACTTAGAATCAATAAATCTATTTATGCACTTACGATTCACTATGTTTTTTTGTCAACTAATTGAAAGAAACATATAGGCATATGATCAAGATTGTCACGTGTTTTACATGAGACGAGCGAAGAATGCATCGCCTAAACAATATTTATATGTACTAGTTCGTTCATAAGCGAATTTCATGGACTAATGAAGCTTTACCGTCGTAACGCAGTTTGTATTGGCGCTTGCATCAACAAATAATTGACGAAACTTGGAGAAATCCAGGTAATTAGGAATTATATAAAATTTTATAGAGTCAAAGCACACATACAAGAATTCAATGTTGACCAAAAAATAAATCAGTGTAGATAACAAGAGGATGATAACTATATATATATCTTTGCCTTCGAACGACATTTTATCTTGTTAGTAAATAAGAAATTTTCAAAAAAGGACTCTGGGGTACGCTATGAAGGCCACAACGTATCGATTTCTACTTCTTTCAATATTATTTATCAGCAAATTATGCCAAAGTTCAGCTCTATCGAAAAATCTGTATGTCGTGCCATCACTCGCCATTGACAACAGTGATGGAACTCTTGCATCTCCTTATTCATCATTACAACAAGCTCTTCAACATATCGAAAGTGAACGTATTCGCACTAATATGACATCACTATCCAGAACAACGATTCATTTGTATCCAACCTATCATTTTGTGAACACTGTTCATATAACGCAAGCACATAATCATATACGATTAACAACGATGACAGAGGAATATGCTACTCTATTCGATGAATTAGTTACTCGTGAAAAATCGCATCAACGTTTAAAACAAGCTGTTATTAGTGGCGGAACGCCTATAACTGGCTGGATACATGTCAGTGGAAATGTGTATAGTGCAGTTGTTCCATCTTCGCTGTTTGTTAATCAACTATTCGTCAACAATCAACGAATTGTTCGCACACGTGTTCCCACAAATTTCTCCGAATATTTACAATACGCCGCCCCTTTGAATGATTCCATTCAATCAAGGTATGGTTTTCAATATGTTCCTGGTCAGTTCAATTATACATCATTATCAGATGCTATGGTTATTATTTATCATAGTTGGACCGAGTCCCATCATTACATCGATCGATTAGTACCATCTAATAATACGATTTTCTTTACGAATCCATCGCAGTACCCTATTGGAGAATTTACTCTGCAAGCGCAACGACGATTTCATATTGAAAACCTTTGTGAAGCACTCATTGCTAATTCATTTTGTTTCATCAATGAAACTAAAACTGTTTTCTTGATGACAGATGGTTCCTATGATCCGACCACAGCGCAAATCATCACGTCCGTACAGGAAATCGTTGTTTCACTGGCAAGTAACAGTACAACAGATCCTGTTCGAGATTTAATCGTTGACAACATTGCTATCCAGCACGGTGCATGGCATATAGGTCGTACTGAACAGGCCAATTCAGCTTCAGCAGCATTCCTCACGTCGGTTGCAATTTTTATCGCTAATGCAACATTGATCACTATCTCTAATGTGGAAATTAGTCACACAGGCTCCTACGGACTGCGATTACGAGAAGGAACTTCGAATATTGTTTTTATGAATTCACTCGTCAACGATACAGGTGCTGGTGGTGTCTGGGTTGGTGATTGGGCAACGTCACTATCCATATTAGCAAATTCCAATAAGATTCTTTCCAATGAGATCAGCTATGGTGGCAATGTTTTTCCCAGTGCTGTAGGAGTTTTAGTTTTTCGTGCCTATGATATCATCATCGCAGATAATAGTATTCATCATCATCGATACAACGGTATATCAGTTGGTTCACAGAACGGCTATGACGAATCGTTCACATGGAAAATTCTAATCATAGGAAACTATATTTACACAATCGGTCAGCATATTCTCTGTGATCAAGGTGGAATCTATACTATTGGTATTCAACCAGGTACTATTATTCATGGTAATGTGATCAAAAATGTGTACAGTTATGCAGTATATATGTGGGGTATATATCTTGATGACGGCGCATCGAATATTCTTGTTTCAAATAATGTAGTGTACAATACAGGTTGGAGCTCGTTATTTCAACATTATGGTGCGAACAATACCGTTGTCAATAATGTTTTTGCTCGCGCATCGTTGATTGAACCGCCACAACCGGGTGATGCTTTTCCAGATGGTGACGTTCGTATTCAACTTGCTGAAAACCATACCTCATGGACATATACACGCAATATTGTGTATGATGTTTATCAGGGAGCAAATCATTCGGCCTACAAAACTGACCCGCATGTTACGTCAATATCAAATAATAATGTTTATTTCAATCCTTATGGGACTTTGTTACTGTTTGGTCCGGACAAAGTGCCGTTTGCTGAATGGCAAAAGGCAGGTCATGACAATGGAAGTGTTATGGCTGATCCGTTATTTTTAGGTGATGTTAATCAGTGCGACTTCTTTACAGTGAAGCCAAACAGTCCAGCAGCAGAGCTTGGATTTGTAAATCTCACAAAACCGAGCCAATGGAGTCCGGGTTGTGACGATGGTGATGAAGCTCGAATCAATAATCAATTCTATCGTTGGTAATCAAGATATTCCCAACGGATATTTACTTTTAATCGATATCATCGTAGTTCTTTTTCATTGTGATTTTTTACATTTCGACGATGATACTGAATAAATGATTGATATATGTTCTACGAGTTCTTGATGTTCACTATCGACGACTTTCTGGAAAACATATGAGTATACCATAGTGTATCAATTGATGAACTCAACTGAAACAGTTTTATTCGAAGAAAAAAACATCACAAATCTTTATTAGTATGATACAAAACATTCGATGTTGATTGCTTAGACTCATTTAAACTTTCATGTGTCTTGTTTGCAACTGATGATATGTAAATATTCCAAATTGCTCCGGCAAGACTTGCAACAAATGGTCGATAATCCAAAGGAATAAAACGGAAATTGACAAACGATACAAATGGCCAATAACATGAACCAGCCAGATAGGTTTTCGGCATATCTTCTTTCACTTTTTTCTTCGCATCAGAAATGGTTTGACCTTTGAGAAGAGTAACACTCGTAAAGACGAGACTAATACCGATTGGCGCAACCAGGATATTGATTAACATTTTCTTACCGATTTGAGCAATTTGCTTCCCTGTTGGATACAGGTGGAAAAAATTCAAAGAAATGTTGTTTCCTCTAACCTGGAAATATTCGTTCGATTGTTCTAGAAATTGTAAAATTCCACGGTGTTGATACTAAAACAGCTGTAGTACACATGACCGCCGATCGCCGACGGTCCCACCAAGGTAGAAACGTTGGAGGTGGACATGATGGTTTTGCATGTTGATGGTGTCTTTGTAAGTATTGACAGATGAAATCCCCTACTGTAACACTGGCGCTAATGGCAAGCGTGGAATAAATATATGGCTTAACCAATCTACGCCATCCTTAACAGAAGAAATCGTTATTATTTTTTGCGATAAACTTCGTCGTAGAGTTAGAATACCGTGTTGAGTTCTTAGAGCAGCTTTAGCTGTGTTTGAAACAGCAGATGTAGTAACGGACATACAAAAGTTGGTTTCTCGAGAAAATAACGTGCGCACAAAAAGAACGAAGTCAAAACAACATGATGCAACGTATACTTTTCTTTCTGTTCTTCCAATGCATAGCCGTATTTTCTTTTGCCATAGTATTTTTTTCTGTTCTGTTCTGTTCTTGACTGTCGTTTGATGACGTATGCAGAATAAAAAAAAGTATGATGGAGAATCTCACTCTCCATACTAGTGCATTGCATCATCTAATTAGTTAAAGATGAGCTTTGACTGAGAAAAAGAGAAAGTAGCAGCGGAAAGTTTCGATCTTCCGACCTCTGAGTTATGAGCCCAGCACGCTTCCACTGCGCCACGCTGCTGTGCTTTAACTATCATTCAACATCCTTAGATTTCTGTCATTATATTTATTTTCGCGATTTCATATACGAAAAGCCACTACAGAAAAAAACAATGCATAAAACATTATTTCAAACATCAGACTCTCGAGTATATTTTCTTTCGAATGAAACGTCTTTATCTGAGTCGGTACGGCGAACCGTTGGAGTATTTATCTTGATTCTCTTAAATTTCTTGCCCAACGCCATAAGAATTATAACGAGAACAATCCCGATTACACAAAGAACAATCAACACGAGCATGAAGGTATCGTAGTTAGTTGGCGAACCTTGAAGTATGAAATGACAAGGAAGGGGATTTAAAAATCCAAATGTACTCAGAAGTAGTTCGTATTGCTACATACCATTGCTGTTTATCTGATCTGTGCCTTTCGCACGCCATTCTTGTTGATAGATTTCAGTCCAAGGAGTCATGTGAATTACTTTTCAGCAACTCGCTTCTATTCTGTAGTTATATATCTATTTAAATACAACTTGTCAGTTATCTTACTGATAGATTCTTATCATAGAAGTGTCTAAACGTCGCCTATAACCAGAATTCGGCCTGTGTTAGTTTCACCTACTTCAACATCTCACAAGTATTTCTTTTTACTGCAAAGTGACTTTTTTACGTTTTCTGGATTGCAGTCACTTTTCCTTGTAAAATTCAAAAACAAAATGTACCGATAGAAACTTGACCATCCTGAAGATTAAAGCTCTTTCAGTATGTTAATTTTGAAATGGTTTATCATCGGACTAGCAGTCTTTACTTTAATTATGTGTTTTCTGTTGAGAAATGTTACATAACTTAGCAGAGAATTCTAATATTCGTAAGTTTATTGACGCGGCTAGAGAAAAAGAGTCTACAGCTAAAAGCGAGATTTTTGTTGTTGAGAAGTCATTGTTAATTTTTCTTCGGAGCTGAATCACCGTATAAATGTTTACTGTGTTCTTTGGTATAACGTTCGCCAGCAGTATCCGCGTTTTGACAAGCCTGTCGAATCTCCTCGACTTCTTCCTTGCTCAATTTAACTTGACTTGCACCGATGTTTTCGTCAAGGTTTTTAATTTTTGTCGTTCCCGGAATGACGAAAAACTGTTCGCCTTGTGCCAATATCCAAGCCAATGTCAATTGACCTGTTGTGCAACCTTTCTTCTGAGCAAACTTCTGCAATTGCTCCACCAATTGAAGATTTTTCGGGAAGTTTTCTTTGGAAAACCTTGGCAAGTGCCGACGGAAATCGTTCTGCTCGAAATCATCTGCACTTTTGTATTGTCCAGTTAACATTCCACGACCTAACGGTGAATAACAAACGACGGCAATGCCAAGTTCTTGACATGTTTTCAAAACACCGATTTCTTCTCGTTCGATATCTAAACTGAATGGTGAATATTCCACTTGAACAGCTGCGATTGGATGAACTTTGTATGCACGACGAATCGTGTCACTTGAGCATTCAGACAAGCCAATATATTTGATTTTTCCTTGCTCAACAAGTTCTTTCATCACGCCCATTGTTTCTTCAATAGGCACCTTAGGATCGATTCGATGAACATAATAAAGATCGACATATGGTAGTTGTAAATTTTTCAAACTTTTCTCAATCGATTGTCGAACATATTCAGCATCACCGCGAACAGTAGCTGTGCCATCCGGAAGAAATACATTGGCGAATTTTGTTGCCAAGAAGACCTATTCAATGAAAAGAAGACACGACGTTTGTCGTTTCCATCCGATAGAGAAAAAGACACGTTCCTTCTAACCTTCTGACGTTTTTCCGGATATTTTTTGAAATATTTTCCGATCAATTGTTCATTATTGCCATAAATATCGGCACTGTCGATGTAAGTACTTCCTAGTTCTATAGCACGATCAAGAACCTTGAAACGCTCTTCATCCGGAGCAGGTGTTCCATAGAAAGCAGATAAACCCATAGCTCCGAAACCAATTGCTGACACTTTAGGACCGTTTGTTCCTAATTGACGTTCAAGGATACTCGTAGTCATTACTTGATTTAATAATTCACAAATGAAATCGACTTCGTTCTCGATAAATATGCGATATGTGTATGTTATAACGATGAAGAAAAACAAACTAATGTTTGTGCTTGGATGACGATGCAAAAAGAAAAGAAAATACGCAGAAGAGGATCAACCGCACGCGTCAGTTCAAACATGTTACACGTGTTGTGTTTTGTCAAATACAGACAAGCTCTTCTATACTGCGTTGTTTTTTTTCTGTTATAATCATTGTCACGGACGTTATCTTCTTAGCTAGAAACACGTCTCTTAACAATGTTCACGAGGATAGTGTAACTTGAATAAGAATGCAAAATTAGTCAACGTACTAACATATTTTTTTTCATGAAAAATATCGAAAACTTCAGTTCATAAAGCAACTTTATTTATCAATTTTTCTCAGACAACAGAAAATGTATTAGCTGAAGCACCTGATATCTTCTTGCCCAAATAGTAGACATCCCATGAATCCTTGGCATAACCGTTTCCAAGAACTCTGAGGGTGCTGGCCGAAGCACCTGAAATCTTCTGTCCCATACAATAAACATCCCAAGAGTCTTTAGCGTAACCATTGCCAAGATCTTGAAATGTACTAGCTGAAGCACCCGAGAGCTTTTGTCCCATATAATAAACATCATAACTGTCTTTGGCGTAACCACTACCTAAAACTTTAAACGTACTAGCGGATACACCTCTGATCTTTTCGCCTGCCCAGTAAACATCGTAGCTATCTTTACCATATGCTGATGGAAAATTGACATTGTTTGGATTTACTGCGGGCTTTCCTGTTGTTAGAGATCGTAAAGCATATTTCAAATCGTCATCGGCATCATCGAATAACTTCTGTTGAAGACGACCTGCCAGTGCTTGATTCTTCATTAATAAACAGCATAGCAGAATGGTATACACTGTAGCTGAAGTCATTTTGGCTGTTGAAATGAAAAATACTATTGTAAATCAACGTCGCAAATGCTCATTTATATTGTGAAAGATAATCATATCAGCCAATATTTAATATGTATACATTACTCTTGCAGATAAATATATAAAACCTTATTGAAGGAATATGAAGAAACTGAATCTGCTTACATAGATTATGAGTTTTAACTCTGACAATCTTTCTGATACAGTATACTAGCATCGATAATGATTCTTGTCAATACGATGAATAAGATTACTTAATAGGCTTTTCGTCAATCTTTGATCTGATGTGTATCATAACTTTTAAAGGCCGTACAGAAATTGTAAACTCATGCATGAGTATATCATTTATTCACATCATTGCACAAATTCCTCTTCTCATCTCTTATACTCTTCAAACGATTAATTAAATTTGGACCGATCTATTCATATGTAATTATATGAAAGAGAAAAACAAAATCGTGTAATTCAAATGAAATTCGGAGATAGAATAAAATCCTAGTTGTAAAAATTAACATGAATTTGATTGTAATGTTATCGTCAGTTGTATATCATTGGGCTGGACTTGATATCCAAAAAGTTTGTAAAAGAAACTTTTCAATTCCTTTCGGAATAGGTGACTTGTTAATGTATATAAATAAAAACTTGAGCAAGGACCAATATTTGATAGCATTCCAACAATTGTAATAGTCAAATCTTCGTACGCAATGTCGAGAATAGTCTTCCGTGAACTTTTATTCATTGATATGTGAATAAATGCTAAGCAAAATATCGATCCTGTTATGCCGTAAATAAACACTTGGGTGAATAACATGCGACATAATTGCCGATCTGAAACTTTTGCCTTTAGTGCTGTAAGTTTGGTGCTGGTGATTCTGCAGAGTCCTGTTTTATGACGAATATGTTTGAGAGTAAGTAATCCAAATATAAACATGCAAAAAGGTGGAAGAAAACCAAAGATGATCAAATTATAGAACGAAAAGATCTTCCGATAGATACCCAATGGACCAGCACTGTGACAAACACGTTTTTGTGTTGCTGGCTCGATATAAAAGCGAAAGTGAATAGGAATATGAACATAAGCAAGAAAACACATAATAGTAGTGATGAGAATAGCTCGAGAAGCCACGCGAGTGCTGCTCCACGCTCGTTTGTCTGCCGATGAACAACTACACAAATATCGATCGATACATGCTAAAACAATAAACCAAAAACCTAACAATCTAAAACACGATTCAAATAGAAAATTCGGATCAGTTATCATGACGCAAACCTGATCGAGTACAGAAGAAACCAAATAATTTTGCATGCAATGAGTGAATGAAGAGTTGGATCGATGTTGATGTATCCCGCTTGGATTAGTCGCATTGGGAGAATAAAACACGAACTAAGAAGTCCAGAAACAGTCGCAGCAAATAGGTACATGACACACGGATTCGTTCTCAATGTTCGACGAGTAAAAACGAAGATACTTAATAGATGACCGATAATACCAAATGGAATCATGATTAAGCAGAAGCATCGAATGAACGTCATTGCATACCATTTGATTTGTTGAGCTTCAAATTCTAAGTTTGTTTCGTTTGACGTAATCATAATCATCTAGTTCTAATGCACAACTACCGTTCAGCTTAACACTAAAGTGAAAAAAATATTTAAAAAGTGCTCGGGTTCACTATGTGTTTTCTATTTCTATTGGAAATATTATGCGTCACAGTCATTTTTTCCTTCCGGCACGAGGACGTCTGCCATCCTGGTGCATCATAACTGCGACTTTCAAGCGCTATGGTCCTGGTTTTCCTACACAATATATTATTTGCAGCTTTTTCCTCTGCTCTATTCAGAATCATTTCTTTTCTTAATTATGTCATTTTCAGTCACTAACCTTCAATCGTCACAAAACTAGTTCGGGTTAAATAAAATAAAGCAGGAAAAGAGTATGTGGATCCAGTTGAACCTTCAAATAATGCTCTAGGGTTGATCGTTTATATGATTAAATGTTAATGTTGTCAGGAAGTTCTACCCTCTAAGAATAATGAACATGAAAAATGTCAACGCTTGTAATTTTCTTAATGGAAAAATATTCAACTTTGTATCGAATGTCATCCGTCGTACTGCTACAGACAGCTTTTCTCAAAGCCAAGACAAACGAATTATCCTTCCCTGAATTAAAATCATCTTCTACTAAGCGAACATTTCAGTGCAGTACATCGTTTCTTGTCATTCCAATATGGAGCTTTACAAGTCGTGACAAACGATCAGGCGTGTACTACTTTGTATGTCATCGTGTATCTTATGAAATCTTCTATGTAAAGAAGATCTCGATCTTTTTTATGTCATAATGAATTCTATCCTTTCATTAAAGAATTTGTCATTGTTCTTTCACTTGGAGAAAAGAAATTTCAAAGCATGTTAAATATATGTCGAGGAACATTCGCTTCTTTAATTACATTTTCGAGGAGTAGAAAATAGCGACATCGCTTAAAGACATACATTGAACAAAAAAGCAAAGCACACTAATATATTGAATCATTTTCATCAATGAACTCAAAACAATTTTCGATTGTTTTATTGATATTGCGCATTTTTTCATTCTTTTCTAATCGAACAACGAAAAATGTAAACTAACGAATGAATAGACGATTATTTGTGGGCACTGATTGTAACATTCCGCATATTTATATGTGATTCTTTCTCTCACATCGTTTTCCCCTTCTCTCCTCTCCTCCCATACATCACGTTTGAAGTAGGAGAATGTAATCTATAAAAAAAACGAACATGGCTTTTTTATACGCACATTCGTTTGTTTTTATATTGTACAACTATTGAAGATATGTTTGTTAATTGGTATTTCCCACCCGAATATCAACCGAAACCATTGACTTTGTTATCTTCAATCAAGAAACAATCTCCGCCATCGTGTCAAACTGGATCCAATGGATCAGTATCGAGTAACATTCTTTCGAAGATTTCCTCTGTTAACCATTCGTCGTGTTCGGTAAAACAAGATGAGAAAGCCGTTCAACATGCCAAACAAAAAGAGTCAATGATCGAAAAGTATTAAACATTCTCTTTTTCTCTTATTTATTGCATCTCTCGGTTCCAATCACATCTATTGAATAAACTTCGATCTTGCTCTGTTTCCTTCAGATGTTTGTCACTTTGCAAATACACATTATTGAATGTCACTGAGTGGACGTCGCTCGTCGACGAAACATGTTCAATTGGTACTACTTTTGATATACTATTTGTCGACTCTGCTTCTGTTGTCGAGCTCGCGGAAGAAGAGGAGAGAACGTGAATATGAATGATAGATGATAATTCAGCTCTTATGTAAAATGGTCTTTTTTTGTCAATCTGTTCTTTTTACATTTTTTATCACGTCCGTGTCAGGTTTCCAATCTAAAGGTTAAATGTTAGTATGATCCACTTTCTCGTCACATTATTAATTTGTCAGATTCATTACGCATTCGGACGTACTTTTGTTTTCCGACCGAAGTGGCTCCATAGAAAAATTGATGAGTCGCTCAATTGCCGTTGAATTAGTACTCACAAAAAGTCATCGCCAATGGTAATATAGACACAATATTCATATATTATATCATATTCATAGAAGCATTCATCATTGCTATGCCCACATGGTACACAGTGCTTCTCAGAGAATCTATAACTTCGTTACAATCAATATATAGTCTATGTAATCAAGTTTATCAAATTCAAATAAAGCGAATTGAAATGAAGACTTTATGTGAAGTAGTATCGCTGATGACACATTCGCATACTTCATTGACAATGACCATTTAGCTGTTTGCATTAATTAATATCCACAATAACGAACAGTAATTTATACTCAGTCACATTTTTAATCGTTTACTGCATTCGTCGACAAAACCCCGAAGCCACGTTCATGATGAGATCATACGTCTATTTGCTACCTGATAGCAGAAGAAATAATTTCTTCACTCGACTTATTTTGACAGAAAATCCATCGGATATATAAATGAAGATCTGAGAAAAAAAAGAACTGATGTTAATTGACTATTTGTATGCTATTAAAAATTAGTACTCAGAAAATTCGAACTTGACTTAGTCGCTTCAATTCAATATTTGTGCACGTGTTTTTACAAGAAAAGTAGGGCCGTTAACGTTGAATAATGCAATGCACTTCTTATAAAATATTTGCTTTCTTGACATCAACAACGAGATTTTGTCTTTCTAAGAATACAACAGATCACTCCCTTTTTGTTCCACTCAACTGAAGAATATAAAATTGATTCTATTTTGAAAAAGAAATGTTGCCCATGAAATATATATTCTATTCTATTTTTGTTCATTGCATCCTCGCCTTACCACAAATCAATCTCTACTTTACAAATAATCAATCCACCGGAAATCAACATACTTGTTTCCGACTT